GCGGATATAATAAGATTTAAATTTTTTTCYCGTTATTACTATTATAATATTACCTATATAGGRCAGGTTGCGTATTATTACCCGCGTATCGGAGGCGGTTTTGTTTGGTTTTGTTTTGTTTTGTTTTGCCTTTCTTTGCCTACCCTCTGCCTGCACGCGGGTTAAGCGCAGCACACGCCTGAGTTATGAGCTCGCCCCGTCCCCGACTATCTCGGAGGTATTTTTTCCCGGCCGCAATTTATTTGGCACGTCCTCGACCGTACGCGACCAATGAATCTTAACGCGCCGCCGCCACCTCCACTTCCGCCTCCGCATCCGGCCGTATAACGGAATTCACAATTTCTGCGCGACACCCGTGGAGATATATACGGTTTCGAAATATATACGSCGCGGGAAAAATTTCGAAGGTATTTTCTACCTATAATAATAATAATAATATTTCAGTAATACGCGCATCGCTAGATCATCATGGTGGCTATAATGGGTAGGTAACGCAGGTAATAATATGGTGGGTGAGTGGGTGTGGCCGTGTATAGCGACGAAACGACGATAGAGTGAAAAATAAAACGGGAAAAAAAACGTTCCACCCACCCATACTCGAGGCGTACGAAATACAAACGCTTTAAGAAGACAAATTTCTTCTTTCGGTATAGATCAAAACGCGCACCCTTATTGTTCGCCGTCCACCACCCGCACACCCCTTTGGGTTTGGCGATAGGGTTAGGGTTTATAATCATATGCGTGGGCGTCGTCTTCCCAACGTCTCGCGGTGTTTTTCTTCCTCCCTCTCTCTCACAAAACGTCAACCGTCGTCGCTCCGAGGTGGGGGAGTGAATTAAAATTTCACAACCTTAACCGTAGTACCTGGTCGAGAGCATAGTTCAGTTTTGAGCATGGACCAGTGGATCACGTATCAATATCCCGACGGGTACAGCTACTACACCAATAACAATAATTGCAATAGTTACAACAATTACGGTTACGACTATAACCATGCTACCGGCTACCGGTATCCCGAGGTAAAAAACACACACGCACACAAACGCACTCGCTCGCAGACACTAATATTTTATTGTCAATGTATTACACTATGTTTTGTTTTAGGTACCATAATAGCTATTATTATTATTATTTGTAGATCAATTACGCTAAAATTGTATTTATTAGAACACGACATTTCGCTTTAGTTATTAAAAGACTTGGACATCTGTACCGACGTAATATACTATATTGTGTTATTATTTATTATTATTATTATTATTAAAATACTGAAAGCAATAATAAACTTGTATTATTTAGAATGTCGCCGAACACTGTTCAAAATGTTGTGCTTATTATATTATTTTTATATTCTCTTTGCATACCTAAGTATTTACAACGATTTAGCCGTTTGATAACTACTTGAATTATATTTATTTKATTTACGTTATGTTTTTTTTTTTAAATTATTATTATTAAAGGACGTATTAGTTTCACAATAAAGCTATGTAAAAATAAAATAAAAATAAATTCAAGTAGATTACCTCCATTARCATATTATTTTATATTACCACATGGTCATTACGCATATGTGTTTACAGCAACGGTATTGTCATATTTTGTTTATTTATTCTTGTATTGTATTGCTACACGAGTACAAAAGTATACAATATGATTAATTTAATGATAAATTATTATCAGATTTTTCGTCCTCAGTGTAATGAGTGTTTATTGTCGCCGTAAAACCAAATAATATATCAAAGTATAATAATTTCAAATCGATTGTAATATTTTGCTTTTAACCATTTTTGTAATGGTTTTAATTTCGATAACAAAAGCTTACCATCTATTTTCAGAGTGGGCCAAATYGAATGTGGAATTATTACAAAACGTTAACCTATATATTATTTAAACGTATTTTCGAAATTAATAACCATTATTGTTTTAATTTTAAAATTATTATTATTATTAATTTTTATTTTTTTTTTGAAATTCAAGTTATAAATCTAATAACGAAGAAATTTAAATTAGTTTTTCGCGAATGTTCGGAATATTATATATATGAGTTATTTTCTCTACAAACATTTATTATTCCCTTGGAAAAAATTATTTTACAGCGGTTTTAACTAAGTATCTATCTCGTAATATAAAAATAACAGTTCATTTAGAAGACAAGTCTAACCTAACAAATCAAATTTCAAGTGTAATTTTTCGTCAAATAGCAATTTTAAAAAGTTTCTCCCACGAAAGTTTCATTCGAACGTAACAAAGCTACTTCCAATTACTATACGTACCCTTACTATGCTACGTTTAACTTTTTTTTTTTTTAAATTGCCAAAATGAAACTGTACATTTTATCAAAAAATATTGACCTTTAAATTCCACCGAAACACTTTTCTGCTTTATAAAAACTTATTATTATCATCGTCTCGGTGTCATACTGTATTTTTTACTCGGAATTTTAACATAACGGCCAAAGTACTTATACATATTTTTTGTGCGCCACGCAATTTATTATTTATTCAAACCATTCGATCTTAGTTGACAATGATAATAAAAACAATGACTACTATTGTAATCAGCATTTTGGTATATTATACATTATTGATCACGCACTTTGGACGGACAAATTGTTAAAATTATTATTGTCAGTAGACGTTTGACGGGTTTTCATATTTGCTTATAAATTACTATCGACAAGTACGGCGAGTCTGTCAAACGATATCAATGGCCATAATTTCATTACTATTTTATAACTAATCAGACGACGTATTTCATTCGACCGAAATAAAACGGCCGACGGCCGTAGACGAAATGATATTACGTATTATTATATTTTTCGCCATGTCGCCAAACTTCTCCCTCGAACAAACCGTAATAAATATATAATAAAAAAAAATTCATCTAATGCACCGCGATTGTTGTTATATCGTCGTATCCGGCACGCTCATCATCGGCAGCGGACACAATATTATATATTTGTACACACGATTACGCTGTAATATAGCAAGTCWAGTCGCGATAAATCGAAAAACTTGACAAGTCGAATTTTTTTTTCTTCTAGACAATTCGAGGTAGTTACTAATTAGTTAGATATCTCGAATAATACATATATCTCGAAGCGATTTTATATCCCRCTTCGACTTCGAGTTATCGCGACTCGACTGTATCATATTATTATTATTGTTTTATAATATTATTATATTATAAATTGGTATTGACGGGTCAGTGACTTTCCGCGTTTAATATATTATTATTTTTGGTAAATCATAATCCAATATAAATATGCAATAGCTGGTACATAATATTATGTGTAAAAAATATCCTAACCTAATATGTCTCACATATTGTATACTATTATATTTTTTTTGTTACTTAAGTAAAATAAAATWATTATTATTATTAACCGTGCAGTGATGTGCTTATTACAATCGTAGTAGTTGTTTGGTTATTCCACACCATCAGCGAGTCTAACCCCCCAAATCAAGTGCGCGACAACATTCGGCCCGCTTTCGAAAATCTTCGTCTACCCTTTTCTCTCTCCATTATATATATATATATATAAATTGTGTGTTTACCTATATCTATATCTATATATATATATATATGCGTTTACCTATGTATATAATGTATACGGAGCAGGAGACTCTAGCGCAGGCGAAAAGAGCTTTTCGTCGAGCGACTATTGAATTAAAACCTCGCGCGCTCATTGTCGTCGAAATCCAATTAGTCGCTCCTCCGGCGGCAATTGGCGGTGAGTGCRCGATGACGAGGGGGGGAGGCTGTTTTTTCGACGAGCTTTCGGAATAATAATAATAATTTAATTTCGATTTAAACGGGACGGTGCACCACTGCAGTAGTTGTTCGCTTCGGACGAGAAAGTATAGAGAGTGAAGTGGAGTTTTCCGGTTTAATTCATACAACTGACGATTTTCCACGACTAAACGTCCCCTCGCGACGTAAACAAGACGCGGACGACGACGGTTGAACATTTTCCATTCCCCCCTCCCCACTTCTTTTCGGCAGCTTTTTATATCATGTTCGGTGAATGAACAAAATATTATAATGTATAATTATATTGTTATGTATATAATAGTTTGCGCAAAATAATGATACGTTTTTCATTATTGGGCGTAGGCGCCGTTCTTCAGTGCAGTATTCCGACTGTTTGAAAAAAAAAATGTTTGAATAAAAACTGTTCTTTTGTAAAAATTACGAGATGGGAAAATAATTACTATAGGTAAATATTTTCAAAAACATGTTATTACTGTATATTATATAGTATTGTATACGGTATGTTAATTGTATGAAACGATAATAATAAGAAATTGTTTTTCGTTTCGTCAATTTAACTTTTTCCATTACCTTTTAGTCGCCACATTACCTTTACGGATAGTATTACATTCAGCACATAAATAAGCTGAAACAATTATATTAATGTTATAAGTTATTTAAAAATGCTTTAACGCATAACTTTTTCATTCAGCTTTTCTACCATTGCTGTAGGGATTTTTTCTTCGAATCGAACAATTTGTACCATCATCGAAAAAGTTGTCGGTCTACATTATGAACGATACTGTAGGTAATACAATACAATATTTCGCATATTATTAATTTATGAAATTCAAAATTCCCATCCTCTCTTGTCATATAATAGTATGTTCATTCGAAGAAAAATTTAATTAACTATTGAATAATTGGAAAACAAAAAACTACAATATTAGTTACAATGGATATAATAATATACGGTTAATATGAATTGACTAGAATACCGATTGATACAAAAAAAAAAAAAACATTTGTGTTTGTATTTTGCCTATACATAGGATACCGAAATGAGCGACAATATTTTATTCTTTTAGTGTGTTTTTTTTCGCTAGTTTTTTGAGTCAATAGATATAATGTTGTTACGTTAGGGGCGCGTTTTATAACAAACAAACGAGATGTGACATATATGTGCTGGTTGATTAATAATATCACAATAGCAACAACAACAATAATAATATGTATTTTCCTTTTAGACCTCGAACGGCGCAACAGACTCGACAAACAACAAACAACAGCACTCACAGCCCACTGCCGTTGCAGTGCAACCTAAGCCGGAACAAAAGCCCGTGGAATGCAACCTGTGYCATCGAAAGTTCAAAAACGTACCGGCTCTAAATGGACACATGAGGCTGCACGGTGGATACTTTAAAAAGGTCAGTGTAGTTTTATTCGTGCACACACTCGCCCACGTTTCTTTGACTATAATACAGTCGCCCTGTATGCACTGCGATATAAAATATATTATACTCTCCGAGCACTGCAAACGCCCAAACGCGGCGGTGTTTGATACGAAATTCAGTGCAAATATTATACGCATTTCATTCAAACGCACATCATCGTGTTATGAATTGAAAACGCAGTAAGAATATAATAACGAACGCTTTTGCAATTCGTATGATGCATGTTTGCAGACTCGCTGCAGTAGATAGCTAGGTATGCTGAAGTTTTTAAATATTCGTTCCATATAAAATTAAAACTATCGAGGTTTTAAAATAGTCGATACAATAATTATTAACATTAGAAACTGTCGACGTAATTAATTTTTCAACAATAACGCAACATAAACTATTGCTATTATTATTATTATTATTACGTCGTGTACAAAATTATTTAATTTGCGATTAAATGTGCGTGATAATAATTTCATAACATTATACACATAAAGCAGTAAACGAATTTCGTTTTTGTTTTAAATTTTTCATAAAACATTGCAACACGCGTAACTGTTTTTATTATACTACTGCAGCGGATAAAGTATACGAGTATAGGTACGTAGTAGAGTACCTATAATAGTAGGTTTGTTTAAGAAATTATAATTTAGAGTTTAAACAGTCGGGTGGAGTTTTTACATTTTTACATATTATATACAAAACGCTTTGTATGTACGGTGTATACCATCCGTGCTGTCAAAATGACATATACACTCTAATTTCCAGCAACATGAGTTTTTTTCCACTGCACTACCCAATCCCGGCAGTTAGATTTGACCCGTAATAAAGATTTTTCCCCTCCTCTCGCTTCCCCGGAAAATGTCTGCAGCCTTCTGGTTCACTAATTAACGCACGACCGAAATTTCGACCAATTATCTCTACCAGCTCGGTAATCCCAAAAGGTTTAATGAGACGTGAGTTCGATCAATGGGAAATGCCGAACGAGAGGAAAACACGGTGTTTGTAGCGAGGGGGGAGGGGTTGAAAATCGTGCGTACATCCAAATTGAATTTTTCATTTGCAAAGCTTCACACTTTCCTGGATTCAGTCGGAATCGTGGGCCGGGTGGGGAAGGAGTCAGACGCGCAGTTATCCGATGCTCAAAGAGATAGAGTAGGTATGACAAAGAGATCTATGATAACGTTTCTATAAAACATATTATCGTCGACTATGACTTCAAAAGGATTGTTTTTGTGCACACGTATACGAAAGTAGGTGTATAGGTATATACAATATACATAATAGGTATTATATATGTATATATCGTATGTGTGTGCGAGTGTGTGTGATGGGTGCACATGTATATAATATGCTTATATGTACCTATATGTACGATTGTAGCACTGCGTACCTAAACTATAAGTCCTCGAGAATATCGAAAGGGAACTTGTGTGATTGAGTAGGGATATGATTCGAATCATTATAACAACTTATACTAATTAGTAATAATAAGTATGGTTGAATATTATTTCGTAGTGATAGTATTACGCAAGTATTGAGTACACACAATTAATACCTACCTATACATATTATACGACTTTTATTATGTCATTTTATTGATATTTACCAGTCCTAAAGTAATGTTAAATCAGTATGTATATATTATACTCGCAGACTTCAAAATATAAAATCAGTTCAATAGCTGCGAATGAGGAACCTAAAGTAATGTTAAATCAGTATGTATATATTATACTCGCAGACTTCAAAATATAAAATCAGTTCAATAGCTGCGAATGAGGAACGAATTATAATTGAATGTAAAAATTKAAATGACGTTTCGTATCTTTATACTAATATTGGTTTGGTTTTTTTACATTTTAACTAAACGGGTTCAATAGAATTCCAAACAAAATTATGTGTACATAAAATATACATACTATATTGAAAAAACACATACAAAAAACTCAACGTTAAAACTACTATAATTTTAATTACTGATAAACGTTAGTCGGTTAAATTCTCTCTGTATTAATATTTTTAATTTGTCAAAATGTGAGTAATGTTTGAAATTTTTCCTATTTTTTACAAAAATGTGAACGAATATCTTCGTTAAACACAATATCTAGCTAAGTAGCTATACTAACATTGTGATTTAATCTGTTTGTTCCCCATATATGCGCGTACAATATATTTCGCACATTTTTATTTTACAAACAAATATACATGATAATCCATACATAATAAACTKATCAAATTATCAGTTGACTATACAGCAACTTTCTATACTTTAAACTTACATGAAATTACCCTCGAGGAACGTACTATTATTGAGTTTCCTTTGATACAGTCTAATAACTTCAACATTTGACTTTCAATAATTTTAACAATATTTGACACTTACACAAATGCTTACGTATATATATATATATGTGTGTGTGTGTGTGTGTGTGTGTATAAATATAAAATATGATATTTATGAAATTCTTTACATATATCAATAAATTAACAAAATTATTATATAATTTCTTGTAAGACATTTTGACATCTCAAATATTAACCTAACCAAATTTGATTGCACGTGTAATATAATGAGTATTAATAACACTACGGTATTATTCGGAAACCTCATAATTATGAACAAAGAAGTGACAACAAATATTAAAATCGGAAATATTAACCTATTAATAAATTTTAAATAATGAGCTCTTTATTGCTGAAAAACCCTTAGCATCTCTCTATTCCGTAAATGTTCACGAATGAATTTCGGACACAATACWTGACAACTCGAAATCACAAAGCTTACACATACCAATACCGGCTATACGGGCTGTCTATATAGTCCGCATTACTCCATTTCGTTATAGTAAATCGAGTTCGTGTCCATTGGTGTATTACGGAAAAATCGAGAGACTATCATATTGTGTGTGCTATACACTTCACGTTAAATCAATTAACATCAAAAACTATAGTTATCGCAAACGACCCTTTTACGAGTCGGGCCATGTCTGTGCACATTTTTAATAAATAATACAATTTTTAATGATAGGTAATAGTAGTATATGGCTATTCAGATAGTACCTGCAATGCCTCCTTGTTACCTGCCCCAATACGCATCGCCCGATAAATATACATACATGTATCGTCGAGGAAACATAACACAGAGGTTTCCTGCAGAGACGTAACGAGTAACTGAAAACCAATTTGAATATTTTCCACGACGGCCGGAAATGTTTTACAAAGAAACGGATATTTACATTGAACACTCAATCAAACTTTCGTATTTACACTGACGTATACACGGCGAACAAATCACTTTGTGTTTACGAACGTCGTTTCTTAGGTTTTTGAAGGAAAATAACCTTTTTCTTCTTTGATCTCGTTTCAGACTATACTGCATTAAAAGCGGGAGTTTTCCATCCCTTTTTATTACTATTATTATATATATATWTTTTTTTTTTCACGACAATTATTCACCTCTAAGGCAGACGGTTTTATTTAATAAATTATGTCGTAGCTAAGGACTAAAAAGGAGATATTGCCGTCATATTACTTTTCGTTTTTTTTCTGCTTTTCATTAAATTAGAAAAATTCGTTCACAAAAAAAGTTACAAACTGCAATAAGAAAATAAATGTATGTTATATGTTTTAAATTAAATTACAAAATAAATTATGTTTACTATTTTAGAAACATTTTCATTTTTGAAAAAAAATTAAATAAATAGAGTGAGATTACTATCGTTTTTAATTTCGTAATGTGTACTGTGCCCCAAAGACGCCTAGGGTCATACTTTTCACAGAAATCTTTGTCTTTCATTCATGTATARCGACTAAAAGAWTTTTTTYCATCATCACCACTATATATTGTAATACATAATATCCACCACAAAAATKATTTTCATTTCTGAATAGTTATATTGTATGAATCAGAAGTAACACAGTAATATTATACAAAGTAATAAATGMTGAACATATCTGCGTCATAAATGTCACAAAAAATACAGTTTAACGGCTAATACTTTACCAGATTATATGATGAAAACAAAACTCGGTAGTTGAATGGTAGGTAATACATTTAAAAAAAAACACGAATAATTGAAATAAGATATTTCGAATATATCGTGGGCCATTTTTAATTAATTAAGAATAATATATTATTATAGTTTTTGGACCTTGACCTCGTCCATCATATAAAAACTCGACTTTGTCTTCAAGTCGTTTCCAAACGATTTATGTTGGTATAGCTATTAACCTTTTTACTAATTTAAAAATATTTTGTTTCTTATTAAGTAATTTACATTTAGTGTTTGTGGGAAATGTTAAAAATTTACGAGTTGGAAATTAAACCCAGATTGCCAAACTTTGTGATCAATAAGATTCGTATACGAATTATTCTGTATAGCAATGGAAGTGTACGACAAAATTACTGGAATTGTAAATATAGCGAGAGGGTAGGTCTGTGCCCCCGCCTTGATTGGAAACAGTAAAAAAAATACACTTTGTCGTAAACTTAATTTAAGAATAGCGATATTTAAATTTTCATCCGATATAGCCATTGTGAACAAAAAAATTAAAACTATAAAACATAAAAAAAATACTAGTTTAAGCTGTAAGAAAACGAATGACACGAATAAGTACAGACAAACGTAAATACTATAATAATTGTGTTCAATATTATGWTTGAGTCGATATAAATAATGGATTGATTTCATCTCATATAATAATAATTAACAGTTTATATTGCAAACGTACCAATATTAATGAGATATCTAGATTTTAAATTTTATCGGCAGTTTTGTGAAATAATTGTCGATATCTTACCCGCCACCAGTCGAGTCTCAATCTTACTCCATTTGAAATGAGATACTTTTTTAATTTAATGTTATTAACGTTTAATATACTACTCCGAGTGCACAGTATACATTTTAACTTGGTGCCTGTCCAACGATATGATTTATTTTCATAAAACTTATGTACACWTTTGGAATTAAAATCAAAACTTTTACGTGACACAAAACAGCTTAACTTTAGATTATTTACACCATCGTATGAATATTATGAGGGTTAAAGATACTTAATTCAACTTCAAAGGAACTAAAATATTATGGTGTGTTATAGTTTTACGAACGCCATACACTAAATTATACCAAAACATGTCATCGATCTTCGCGCATTACGTTAAAGTTTAAAAATTGAAATTTGCATTAGATGTTACACGATATGTTAATAGAAAGCTGACCTAAATAAATTATACTTCCGGACATAAAATATAAGTATAATGCATTATGCATGACTATCCGATTTTTAACAATACCATAATTTAAAATATGTATACATTTACAATGTAATAATACGCCAATAATAGTAGGTACGTATATAGTCTATATTATTTTTATGGCAGATAATTCGGATTTTATTACATTATTCCTATGGCAYCGCGTCAGGGGATTGATAAAATATAAGGTATTATTTTTTTTCAATTATTGTCAGTCATTATTATCTTTGTGATAAAAAGTTCATTGGAAACCATATCAATATTCTATATATGTACCCTCTAAATCTGCATATTATGCCATTCTATCAAGTACGCCCCCACAAAACAAATCATTATTTAATCCCGACAGACCGCTATATTATAAAACCATATGCAGCGAGTGTTTGTGTGTATGTKCGGGATAGGTGGATGGGTGCATGGATGGATGGATGTGGGTGTGTACGAGTATTTGTATAGGAGTACATAGTTTAATATCTGCCAGCCTTTTACTCCCCTAATATTAATTACAGAAATGCCCCACACATCCCACCCGCTGCTGCCTTGTATCGGCAAGAAGTCCCAAAATGTTTTGCCATTACTTTGCCTTACTCCATCCCGGTCAACTGATTTATCATGTTGATTACTATAGGGGTTTAGCGGATGCAAAAACCGCAATGAACTATTTCGATCTCCAAAAAGGTGTCGGGTTGTGGGCAGGAGAGTCAGAGAAAAACTTCACTGGATTTTCCTAGGCTACACCGAAATTTCCATTATACACAAGAAAATAGACCCGCACAACTCAACCACATGCTCGAACACGCCGCGATTAATATCACGATTGTTATAATAAAATAAAAACAAAAAAACATAAAACGTGCAAATGAGCAAACGCGCAAACCAATGACTCGAGTGTGTGTATTTACTATATATAGTAAAACTCTCGGTAAAAATCAAAGTAAAAAAAAATTTTAATAGGTAAAGATGTTGTAATATTTTATTTTAACGCATTTCCGTGGAAACTATTGTTCCTATGTTGAAGTGTTTAAGATTTTGAATTAGACAAAATATTACGTTCAGAACACGATAATACAAAAAGATGAAAAACAATGTGTACAACGCTCAATCGTCATAATATAAATTACGATACGATTAAGAACTATTTAAATATTTAATTTAGTATTTAAATTTTTAACAGTTATTATATTATATTATGATGTAGTTTAGTAATAATAAAGGTATAAAACAGTTGCACTACAATATTTTTTTTCATATTATTTAATCAGAATCATTTTTAAATTAATACATTTTAAACATTTATCGCAATCAAAAATTACTGAATTTGTACAAAACACTCATAAATTCATAATCCATATTGTTTTAAACGTTTTCGATACTGMTTATTTCAGATTAAATTCCTTGAATACTATGAATATTATTAAATTCCGCTACAAAAGATTATAGTCATGTTTTCAGAACATTTCTATTTCAAAATGATTTACATTTTCGACCATAATAGTAACACACGATGAAATGAATATTCAATATCTTTAACTATCTTATTGACCACCCGGCATTACTTGGATTATCATATTATTCTCTGAATAAAATACATTGTATCTATAAAGCCTATAGAGTATAAAATATAAATATAACATAGAAACACTGAATTTGTAAAATTTGAAAATCATGCATAGGTAAGTAATAAAATYCAACAATAAAATAGATTGAGCTTAACTATGTTATTTTCCAAAGTTMCGATATTCGGTCGGTTTAATTAAAGGGTTATGCATACAGTTAGGGACATGTCAAACTAGACATTATCATAAACCATATTCTTTAATATGACTATTTCGATATTAATTTTCGATTACGGTAAAATGTTTCTAATTATCATTACCGTAAATTAATTATATTATAATAACATTGTTTGCTGTTCAAAAACCATTTTTTTTTCACCTCAGGGGTTTCGAATTCTCTGATTGATGTTATTAAGCGTAAAAAATATCAAATTAAGTTTTGAAAAAATATGCATTGAAAATATCAACCATAAAAGCTGAATTGTATATTTTTTGACGTGCATTGGTTTTTTTTTCGTGTTTATTGTTCGGTCTTGCATTATCAAATACAACCAGATTTTTCCCTGCCCCTTCTTGAAAATGTTCAACTCTTTTTTTATATATATATATTTATACATATTATGTATATTTCCTCTCCCTTCCCCACTTATTCTTTGTTATAAACGATCAAAGAAAATCCTAGAACGTTTTTTGGAATTTTACTACATTTTGTAGCACGCCCACGAATGTAAATATAAATCACGGCTGATGGAATTCGTGTGGACACAATTTTCTTAAGCCAAAATKGWTTTTTATTAATTTTGGAAATCGTTTCTAGGAAACTGATTCAAAAAAATGGGAAAAAAAAGAAGCATCGGGCCCACCCCTGCAGACTGCCAGCATGAGTGTCAGGGCKTTGATCGAAGAGAAAATCATACAAAAAAGGACCACGAAACCAAATTGTTCAACTCAAAACGGACTAACATATTCAAGTGAGAAAAAATATCTAAATATATATTGTGTTATTGTAGTGTAATATTATACATATAAATGAATCTTCCATGCGTTGGTGTATATCAATCTGCTTGTAAAATTATGTTAATAGATTTGAACTAAAATGATTAATTCGTCTATTGATTATACATATTATTATACATCTTATACATATCATATCATCGTCATGCACTGAAAATCATAATCAAATATTTAAATGCAAAATAATTCAGTTTTAATTTATTCGACAGAAATAGTCCTTAATTATGTGAAAAAAAAATTTTCAAAACTTTTAAAAATTTAATCAATTGGATTTTAATCAAACATTACAACTTTTTTTTACAAGTTTTGTGTGTGTCAAAAATTACATACCTATAGTTTATGGAAACATTTCCAATCACATTAATTATTTTTGGCGTTCATCTAAATTTCAAAACGTGATAACGTGCATTTTCCTATTAAGAGTCTGCTGATTCAATTGGCATTTGGCTTTAACTACTAGAGTTTTTTTCCACGTTTAAAACATACTATATAATTAAAAATAAAGTACAAGCATAGATTTTCATTAAAAAAAACATGAATATTAAACAAACAACAAATTTTTTTAAATTATTAATGATTTGGGCAGACGTATTTGAGAAAATAAGTTTAAAAGAATACTTACGGTTTTATTTTATTGTTCTATTTATTCCCGTTATAAATACTTAAAATGCTAAAACAACAGYAAACACTTAATTGTTAAACAAAAGCAACAACCTTAGGTACTTTGTACTTGTTCAGTTTTCAATATAAATGTCATTTAAATTTTCAGAAATTCTGAGTAGGTACCTAAGTCATTATTACTAAGGTAAATAGAAATTTCGAAAAAATCTGTTGTGTTTTATTAAACTTTTAAAACAATATGATTAATCGTTAGTCGTTATACGCGGTATACATTTATTCTGAATTTTTTAAACGGCGTGTTACTTAGCAATATAATATCATTGTAAGTATATTATAAAGATAATATATAAATAATAATAATTACGTAAAGTATTTTATTGTAATCGATTCGTCATCGATATCGTCATTGGCGGCTTTTATGTGACACACATCTACCCTTTTTTAATTCAAGTTTTTTTTTAATCTACTGCCCTTGTAACTATTATTATGCACCAGTAGCTATGTACCTACAGCTTTTTTTTTTGGTCGGCCTGAAGATTTTTTTCAAATAAACAACTGAATAGATTGAAAAAAATGTTTAATACCGAAATAAAAGTTTGGAAAAGATTGAAAATAAATACTCAAATCGTAAATTGCCTCTCGATATTGACTTAAAATCTTAACATAGATGTTTTTATAAAAAAATAAAATAAATAATAAAGAAACAAGACAAACAAGACTACAATAATTAGATTATTTGAACCGATCTTAACATTTTTTTTTTTTAGATCGAATTGTTTTATTTTATTCGTATTGCAAACAAAATTATTAAAAATAATGATGTTTAAATCCAACATAAAAATGACTAGCGCTTGACTTATACAATCCATAAAAAATATATTAATGTCATTAAAACATGTACCTACTATTTGTCTACTCTGAAAGGTATAAATTCTAAATAAATACAATTAGCGTATTATTTATTGATCAATCCTATGGTTTAACTTTTGTAAAAAATATCAAAAAAAAATCGTTGCATAAATAAAATCACAACTATGTTTTGATTTGTTTTCTATCCGAATAATCGTGCATTTGATACATTTTATTATTTTTTTTCACAATAAAAATTATTAAAAATATTTTTATACGCCCAATGTTAGGTTCTAAGTAATAAAGTTGTTTACGATGATTTCTTCATTGCGCGTACTAAAATAAAAGTGAAGCACGCGTTGTGCGTGTTGACCATTTTCTAGCGTTCGCGACATTTTTAAACATTAAACGTTATATTTCCGATTGAATATCATCCGACGACACGTCATCTCCGTCCAACAACAATATTAACATTATTCGTCTAAGTTATTGCCTATACCTTGCCCCTCCTTCAAGTCGTATTTCGCCGTGTAGACATAACTAAATAATAACTATACCCGTCGGGAAGTAAATGTTTTGCTGTAATAATAATAATTATTATTATTATTATTATTGTTATTATTTCCGGGCTTTTGAGCGTCACTCGCGCGACTCAAGAATAATATTTACCAAGACGTGTAACGAACCATAATACAGTGCAGGCGAACTCGGATTTACTTTCGCACCGTATTAGTATCACTGCCGCGATGCGTGTGCGTTCGATCGCGGACGGTGTTTCGAATAAGCCGTTTGACCGAAAATCTGTTGGTTTTTCAGGCTTGAGCCGAGAGAAGGAAACGGTGGTACAACAAGTGGTGAGCAGAAGCACGGCGGTACACGCGGTGATGACCACCGGCGGTACGTCGTTCGCGGTGCCGGCGGTTCCGAACAGCGCCTCCGTGGTGGACACGACGGTGGGCTTGGCCGACTCCACGGCCGTAGTGTACACGGACGTGATACTCAAAAAGACCGGGGTGAAGAGGGCGTGCTCGGACCCGGGATACCAGTTCAGTCACAGGTGAGTGGGCGATGCGGGTGGGCCTGCAGCACGATCGGTATCCTGTTGTCGGCGACGAGWCCGGAAGACGCGATCGGTCGGTTGAAATAGTGACGCGCGAACAGAACGAGAAGTGAATGGGACGAACGCCGCCGACGGACAGACGTACGGAAAGATGGAAGGATAGGGGAGAGTTGGAGAAGGCGAAGTGAGAGAGAGAGAGAGAGAGAGAGACGAGAGATGGAAAAGGTGTGCGAAAGGGAGAGAGAGATGAGAATAAAATCCCATAAACTCTGTGGGATTTCGGAATTTGTATTTGTGGATGTTCTCTTAGATTGAATGCGTTTGTCCGCGTCTGGCGCGACGATCAAATTGGCAATGTCTGTGTGGCGGCCGATTGTCGGTTTAAAATACGGCGTTTCGGGATTTCTCTCGTCCCTGCGTTTCGGAGGCTTTCGACTTAACTATTTAAACCACCGATGCATACATCCTTTCATGCATAATTGACAAGGCCTTGTCTGACACTCCAATAAAAACTTGTACGTTTTCAATCGGAAACTTTAATTTTCTAAACTGCCATGCTTGAGAAAACGCCTTCCATGTACCCACTTTGAATGCATTTTATACCAAATAATTCGACGGCACACAAAAATAATCAACGAACGTTTACATATTATTTTTCAATTCAAAACGAAAAACGTAAATTACATTTGGATTGAATGTGAAACACAATGTAATTTCATAATGTACCTTTGCCGGCACGTTGATAACTTAAACAAAATTATGTACAACGGTGAAATATCCAATAATACATTAGTATACATCATCATTAATTAATACAGTGTCTACCCACAAACTTTACTCGAATAAATCATGCATATTTTTATGGAATACTTCCATTAAGTGTGTCACCAACACTTTACTTTAAAAACCTCGTGAAATACCAACGCGTCAAATATAGCGTAGGTACTATAACGTCAGAAGTAATAAAATATTAGTTTTTAAATTTATCATCATAAATTTCACTTCATCAGCGCAAAGTTTTACTTAATGACGAATAATGTTTGAAATAAAAATACGCTGTATAAAGTACAAGCTATAAAGTTGATATTCCAAGCAAAAACTCCGTCAAATAACGATCAACTTTCTCTGGGGGATTGAAATTAACTTGTTGGGTATTACTAAAAACAAAAATAAGTTCATCTCGTCACTACTATTCTACATTGTATTATATTCCTAAAAGACTCCAATAAATTGTCTATAAATATTTCAATAATTTCTRCACGGTTAGACTTTATTCAACATTGTTTCTTAAAATCGATCTAAACGCGATAAAAATATTCATATACCCAGAAATGTGAAATTTATGTACATCGCGTTAAATTCAACATTTTTTTGTTGATTTTTTGAGTACAATATTATTTATTTGATTACAATGAATTAAGGACAATGTTAACGCAGCACGTCGTTGGGATATTATATTGTTTTAAGCGTTAACAGGAAAACCATCTTAGACTATCCCCCCCCTCATACTACCCCCCCAAGGTCTAGAATTTTCAGTTTTTGTTATAAGTGGGTGTTAGTCAGCTGTTTGGCTCTTGACGAACTATTGAACATACCGACGACTAGGCTCCGAAATCTATATTTCAATGCGTCCCTTTGCCCGAACCRCTGTCAGCAACGTTATAGAAGTTAAAATTCAGACGTTTAGTGGGTCCAGTAGACCCACTTATGACGACCTGTACTGCAGCGTATTTATAATCTAGGGTATTGGTTTTCAACCTTTTTTGTAATCGCGACCCCCTTTTTTTTTTTACTACCAACCCCTTCAAAAAAAAAATATTGTTTTATTCATCAAAATTTGATTTAATTACTGTTAAAATATTTACATGGTATAATATTTTGATTAATTATTTACACTAAAAAATTGAATCAATTTATAATACAACATTATCTTAAAACAATACAAGCATAGGTATACAATAAATTTAAATATAAAAAAATACATACATAMAATTTTAAAAATGTACAATTTAACTTGTTATCCACGTGTTAATGGGATACTTGAACTTGAACTTTATAAGCTATCGACAAGAATATAAGATTACGCTCCTCAACATGTTATCGTATAGGTATAGAAAAAAATAAACAGTTGACTTTATTTTTAAATAAAATGGAAAAATCGTTTCGTCTATAATTTTTTGCGACCCYCCAGGTTGAAAACCACTGATCTAGGGCACGCAGACATAAAAAATGCGCAACAACCGCTTCACAGGCGGAGATTCGATTAAGTTAGGTCCTATATAAGTCTCTCGACCAGCGTCATCATCGTCATCGTCATATTATACCACACGGCGAGTGTGGGCGCGCTACTCGACTCAACAACAGTCGTCATAGACATATATATATATTAATCTACGACCCGTAATGGGTTTTCGTTGCAGCAGCACCAGCCCGCAAATAGATATTAATTACTCCGGTTCCCCGTACACACTGAATCACGGAAACGGTGGAGGCGGTGGAGGCGGCGAAAAGGAAACCGATAACCAGGGCTATTATTCGCCGGGACTCAACGACGATATATTTCCCAACGTACAAGCCGAAACGATGCTCTTGCAGGCCGTCGACTCGGTGCAGTTGGCAAACACGATGCAGGTAAAACGGGCCAGCCACCGTATAGGCCAATAATATTATAATATTGAATTATTATWTCAGTCGCATTATATTATATTATAGTCCGCGGTATAGTCGCAGTGGCGCCTAATAAGGTTAGGGTATATACTTGCAGTAGTGCTTACCACATAGTTTACAAAAATCGAAATTAATCAAAAAATTCGAACCGGGCGTCGGCTTAATAATAAATTAATAACTGAGGTCATCGAACAGTTTTAACAAATTTCCATGTCCGTTTGTTTCCGTTTTTCCCGATTATTTTAAAAAGTACTGAGAATTTTCGATTTCCACCTGCCAAAAGTACCGTGATTGGATCCATCCAATTCGTTTCCGAAAACCTCCATCGAACTTTATGATGACCGGAACATTTTTTCAAATRAAAATACCGAAAAGACGAGTTGCATAAATGTTTTCAAATACCTGCACCCGCCTAAACGTCTGAAATTATTTTAYTGGACAACATAATAAATAAAATTGTAATAGATTTTCGAAATCCTCGAAAAATCCTGCGTACACCACTTGTGTATCACCACAGCAGTTATCGATTTYAGCGTAGGCCACGATTTTCCGGGCAAGTAAATCAATAATTGTTACACGAAAACAYGACCATCGCCACGAACGARTCAYGTGAATTTTGAAAAAACCTATCCATACGCATAATTTTTCGGTCCGGATTTCTATTGATTTTTAATCGTTTATTGCAGCAAGCGAATAATTTTCAGGCACAGTCGTGTTTCAAATCGATCAATATTTCATTCCAAAAATTATAAATGTGATTCTCACAAAATAAATTATGACCGTTCGTAGCAATCGACCATACAGTAACCGTATTACTACTGACTATACTGCAGCTGTGAATGTGTTCACGTTTTCACGGTGTTATCTAGAGAGAGAAAATGACACTCGTTTGATTCAATTTTTTTTTTTTGTGGACATTTTATTCGACTGCGTAGTAAAAACGATAGAAGCTTATACATTTTTAAGCGTATAGATTAATCTGGAAGGGGCCAATCGCTGTCGATTAATCAAAATATTCCGGAAACGCCGTCTGCATTAATCATCAGAACAACGACGAGCTTTTATCAGTACACAAAACCCCTTCTAAAATGTGCTTTTCCAAAGATTGGGTCCAATGGACTGGGAGTAGGCCAGCAGAATTTAGGGGTAGCATTATTGTTATTCAACCGGTGACGTTAATCGGTCTTTGCCCTTCGCTTCAGAACACGCAGACAACAAACCATAAACTGATCATACTTTACAAAAATATGAACGTGTGAAACACCTATCTATAAACAGGTCACATTCTACTTGATCTTGAATGAATGTTGCGCAATATATCATGTAATGTATACTTTTTCCTCTTTTAAATTCGGTTTTTACGCAGCCTCGTTGAAAAATAATAATTACGTGATTGTGTACTATAATAAACGATTAAATATAGTAATCATCGACTATATTTGTATTTGTTGATTACATTATATTATACTGAAAAGCTACGGTTGTGCCAATATTAATAATTAAAGATAGGCATCCATAACTTGTTCAAACATCGTAGTAYGTGGTCATAATTCCAGTTATTGTTATCAATGCCAATCAATATTTAAATATATACATTTATAAATTATTCAAAATCAATTGAATCTATACATTAGTTAAAATCTACATTATCTGCAAACAAACAATTTCGCAAAAATAATCCTTTGAAGTTTGGACGAATTCGCTGTAGGTCGATAAAGTTTTAGTGCTGCGGCGGATTCCCCTTTCGTCTGCGCTCGTTAGTAATAAAAAACGAGATTTCTCCCGCTCTTGAACCGTGTGTACTCCGGTACGTAAATTGTAAAACTTTATATGACTATATACACAGATAAGTATAAAACGAACTTTGTGTTTGATGGTCGATTCTATTGGGCCAAAGGCTATAGTAAACTACTGAGTTGCAATTGCACGCATAAATTTACTCAGTGCATTAAATATACACGGAGAATCCATTTATATTCGTGTCCTTTATCTATATGGTGCTATAGTATATGTATTTATTTGTGTTTATTATTTGTTTTTGATTCAAATTCGGTATGAGTATTGACGGAAAATGGTCAATAGCACACTTTAAATAAACTATTGTGACCAACGCCGACGTACAGAAATAATAATATACTCAATACTGATATGATTGAAACGAAAATATTCTCAACCATATGCATAATATTATTATGAAAACATATTTCATCAAATACCTTCAAAATCCATTACGCTTTAATGTTTTACATAAATTAAACTATCGTCGATTTAAAATTGATTTTGAAATGTTTTTATTTTTATTATTATTAGGCTACGGACATGCAAGACATGTCGTGCTTAGATGATTACGATGGTATGACCGATCTTCAAAACAACGAAGATTTCCAAGCCGTGTTGAATTCTCCACTATCGGCCAGCTTGGCTGACCTAGCGTACAGTTCTGGACAAACCATGTTTACGGATTTGGGTAGATCGCCTCTTCCGTCCCCAAGTTTTACCTATCCTACTCCACCAGCTAGTCAAGAAGGTCAATCCCCTTCGCTAAATTTTCATTCGGTTATGTCWAACGGTCACCTTGGGGACTTTTTTTATTCGTCTGACATGTCAAGTTCAGAAGCCGTTGAAGCGGCACTAAGCGAAGTGTTGCCAAATTTCGAGTCTTCTACAGATTCACCTTTATCAGCCAACACACCAGTATCATCGCCGATGTCAATACATAATTCATCAGCTGCACAGTCGCCATTACCTAACCACCATCAACACACGCTACAGGTTTACATWTGAAAATAATATTTATGAATAAAACTTAACACTAATAATATTGAATACGATTTAGGTAATGATGCCAAACTCGGAAGACCCACTGTTATCCAGCAACCCTAAAGAATTTAGGAAGAAATTCGACTATCAAACATGTCGCTTGTACGGGGTCAATGGAACTATGGCACAAGTAATCGACGGCAGTCAGTTTTTAATCGACAAAAATGGAGATTTAAAATTAGTTCAAGCCAGTTACCAAAATCCTGGAACAATGTTCGTCCAAACAGAAGCCCAGCTGATTGATAAACATATACCAGTTATCAAACAACAAAAACCAGACAATAACCAAAACTTTGAAGATATAGATGACATTTTCCTTAATCCGTCAAGGTAAAATTTGACTTTTTTTTTCACGTAAAGTTTTTTGTACAAAACTTATATAAACTCTTGTTACTGCATATTTTTAGTATCCCGCCAAATAATGCACATCGATTAAACAGAAAACGCTGTTTTGGAGAAACTACTACATACAAACCGTTCCGATCCAGATTACGTAGTCATAGACTTGGGATGTTAAATGAACCAACCTTGCAATTTACTCCGAAACCCATGTTGAGTCCTTCTAGAAATGGAAGAGGTCTTTATTGGCAAGCAATGACTTCGTGGCCAAGCTCTTCGACTGTCAAAGGCAATTAATTTTATTTATTTCTAAATTCAGAAGGGGTTGTTTGAATTGAAACCGTTTCCGACCAAAATATTTGTTTGCATTATATCAAGTTTTATAATAATTACTAAATGTTACATTGAGCTTATAAATAATTTCAAAAGGATTTATTTATTTTAATTTTCAAAGTTTGAATCATAAAATTTTTACCGTACACAAATATTTAAAGCCAATTTTAATTATTAACATTATTTATTTATTTTTTTATATTCCAGAGGTTATTGTTGAAGACTGCGTGGGACTAGATTCACCACCAGAGTGTGATGTACTGCCGCACATTAATCTCGGTCCAAATTTCCAAGCTTTGATACCACCAGTAAGCAAAACCAGACCAGCTAGAGAGCCGTCTAATGATTATTTATTATGGGACCCTTGTATCACAAGTTCAGTTTCTGATCGAGAAGGTGAATATGACTAACGGTTAAATTAATTCGTATAAGAGCGTTTTGTATTAATCATAAAATGTTCCTAGTTGAAATGTACATGGATTTTGCGTGCTGTGCTGCAGTACCAGGTGGTGGAAGAAACAAAGAATATGCTTTACATTTGCTACATCTTTGCAAAGGAAACGTTCAAGTACGTTTTAATCATTTTTTTTTTTTTTTTAATAAACATTTATTAACAAATTTTTTGGTTGTCAGGAAGCAATGTTAAAGTTGATGCAACCAACGCCGTATCTCCCACAAGGACATCCTTTGATGAAATTTGAATACACGGAATCTGATCACTGGACACCAAATGAAGTATCTATGTTTCACAAAGCTATATTCAAATATGACAAAGATTTTGCATTTATATCCAAAGAGGTAAATTAACCTAACCAAATTATTTTTAATTAAAGACCTAAAACTCATACGAGCTTTTTTTTTTTTAGTTGGGTACAAAGACTATGAAACAATGCATACAGTTTTATTATCTGTGGAAAAAAGTTTGCCCAGAAGATTATAAACAGTTTCAATTCCAAAGACGAAAGTCGAGGAATGAAGATTCAATGATCAATCCGAAATTAGACATTCCTGTAAGTACATTATGTGTGTCCATGTTACATAATAGTATCCCTATTGCCATCTTTATTCCCATCTTAATAAAAAAAAACACTCACGTTCTTGTGTTAAATTTTTTTCGTTTTTTTTTTTTTTTTATTTATTTTTCCCTCTCTAGGCTAACGACCTTATGGTCACCACCAGTTCGGAGGACCAACAAACTTTCGTTTGCGAATTCTCAGACTGTTTGTCGGTGAGTTGGATCCTTTCTCCCTCCTCATTCGTATTCCTGTGAAATGTTAACGTACAATAAATAATAAAAACCTATTCATTGTAATCATTTTCAGACATTCAGTAACAAAATAGGATTAGCAGCTCATATGAGACTACACAATAACGGAACACCAGATCGAAGGCAAACCCTAACGCCAACACAAAATGATCCGAATTATGAAGAATTCCCTTGCAAGATCTGTGGAAAGTACGTGATTTCAACCGCCATTTGTTTGATTTGTGGTGCATCGACTACCTGCGGATAATTAATAACAATACGGTTWTGTTTTTGTTTTAGGATATTTACCAAAGTGAAGAGTCGAAGTGCCCATATGAAATCGCACCGACCTCCAGACGCGGAACCAAAGAAACCAAAGTTGGACCAAAATGTCGACTACGGCCAAATGATGCAACTCAAGACGGTCGCAACGCCAATTCAGTTACATAGACAATGCTAATAAGTGAACACTCGAGGCCACATTCAAAATGAAGCTCAATTTTAAACGGAGCTCGTACAATCAATTTCGGGGTTGTTAGGTACTTTAAAAAAAAAATGTCCAAGCAATATGCATATAATTAATATAATATAAAAATAATAATAATAATGTATACACTCGTGCAAACATACGACCGTATGTGGGTGTGTGGTGTATGTGTGTGTGCGTGCGTGCGTGCGTATCACTAAAAATACTTTTACGCAATAGTTCTTCCTCGATGAAGTCTATAGCATTTAAATAAGCAATAATCATCATGTCTTGGACAATAATAAAAATTAATAAATTGTGCCAATCAAATTCACGCTAGAATCGAAATGCTCAGTACGAAACTTAACAACTTTCTTTAGTCTCTAAGCTTTTGAAAACCAAAAACCAAAGTTCGTCAATTAACACATTATGTGATCAAAATAGTTTCAAATGTATGTGTATGTGTGTGTGAGTGTGTGTATATAAAATATAGTGTACATTTCTAACCAGTAAAGCATATATACGTAATACGATTTTAAAACACTCTTTTGAAACGCGAATTTGGTACCTACTTGAAAAAAAAAATTAAATTATAAACTCATCATGTTATTAATATAAAATAATTATAGTGCCAAATAAGAATATTTTCCCCTTTGTATTTTTATATCCTGTTATTATAATTTTGTGAATATTAAAAACAAAAAATGAATAAAAAAAAAATATATATATATATAAAGAAAAACATTATCAAGTCGATGCTCAAATTCTTTGACTTACATTTTACATTTTGTAAACTAATATTATTTTAGTTCCAGTCTTCCCTTCCAAAATAAAAATCCAAACTTCAAATGGTAGTGAATAAGCTATATTATTGCTGTTAAATATTTATCTTAAGTGAATATAAATTAATACACACACATATATATATATATGTTTAATATTTATTACCTTACGATTAAAATCAATGATTTAAAATTATATCGAAGATGCCGTTGATTCGCAAAAGTGTTAATACAGGCGCTAGTCTTCATGCATGTTTTTGAAACGTTAGATAAAATATATAAATACGCATCGCTTTTATATTATATATAATTCGTATCAAAATGTATATTTGAGATGTTAGTGATTAGGTAGTGGTATAGTATAAAAAGGTTTACTCTGCGCCTTTTTATTGCGCTACTTGAGGGTTTTTTTTAATGTTATTTGTTGCCAGTATTGATTTTTGTTATGTTTATTTACTTTGAAGGGAGCAATTTTACATCACTCCCTCTACCCCTCCCCCCCCCAAAAAAAAATGCCCTTTTTTTCATCCGGTCCCAAGCGTTGCCGGTACATTCCATCATTTCCCCCACGTTCGAATTTTCCGGCTAAACATTGTGCGCCCACCAAAGGGTAATGATAATAATTAAAGGAAATAACGCTAAAAGAAATTGTTATAGTTATTTTAGATAAGAGTTATACGAGATTTAAAATTAAAATTATGTTTAATGAATATAATTATCTTAAATTATTTAATAGAAAAAAAAATATTTAAAATATTTTAGTACATTCTTAATATATTATTATGGTAAATTTTTAGTATAGTTCTAAGTTATTATTATGTGTTTAGAATGTTCGTTGTTGTTTTGGGCTCGAAAGTTAAAGGAAAAAGTTATTGTATTTTTTTTTTCGTTTTTAGTTAATTTACTGGCTAACTAATTGTACATCAGTACCTACATCTATACAATAAGTATATATTATGTAACTAAATATATATGTTTGTAAAAAAAAATAGTTATTTTTCGTTTCATTTAAACTATTTCTATTAAATGTATTATTTTATCGGTATTTTATCGAATCATTGTATACAATCAACAGTGTATAATTTATTGTACTATTTATTTAATTTAATTGTTGTGGTCTTTCAAAGAGGAAACGAATAAATAAATATTAATTAATGGTTATTAACTGCGATATTGTATTATGTTTGTATTTACGTTTGGCGCCTATTTTGCTCCTGCGAACATTCCTGTCAGAATTGTTGTCATACAGAGACGAGTTATGGTCCAATGCCTCGTTGGAGCAAAACATTTTTGCCACTTACTCCCCCGACCCCCACTTCCTCTTAACCAGACAAAATTATTTTAGTTGTATAACAACTTAATCATGTATCCATAAATACACCGATAAAAACAATTTTTACAAATAAAAAATTATTGACGAAAAATACAAAGTTAACATTGAGATGAACAAATATAAATTTTTTTTAAAATTTTTCTCAGGTAAATATAAAAAYAAGCCATTGTAATATTTTATTTTTCAGATAGGTGGTTATTAAATCATTTGCCGCCTGAAGAGAATCCTCTTTTTACACTCGGGTAAATATGTTAATATAATACCAACAAATATGTTAACTTACACTTCACAYAATATCCTCAAACTATCCTCGAAGATGGTGTCATTCCGTTGTATTCTTATTTTCGTGATTTCTATATTTRATTAATAAATTATTTGAACTTTTTTCGTTACAGTGTTAGGCCCGACATTTGCRTCTAAAATAAAAATCATGGGAAATCGATTCGGTGGAACTTCAGAAAAAGCCGTCCAAAGAAATCACCACACTACGTTTAAAACATAACAATATAATCGTATAATGCAGCGTTTCTCAACCTGTGGTACGCGTACCACTARTGGTACACGGAAGAATTATTGATGGTACGTGAAGCAAATCCTCCTTTATAAAAAAAGTTATGACTCATAACATAGTGGTTAAAAAAAATAAATAATTACATGCCTACCTACTGTAAAACCATCTGATTAATATGTATTTTAAATGACTAAAAAAAAAAATAGCATATTTGATCAAGAAGATCATGGAAGTTGTCAAACTGTGTAGATGGTACTCGAATATAAAAAGGTTGAAAACCACAGTGGTATAATAATACGTAGAAGTAGAAAAATGATCATATTGAGACGAAAACTCKCGATAAAACACGCTTTTCACACTCGACGAGTTAATTTTGCAATAGCGCTTTGGAATTTATTGATGACACCTTTGTGTATGGAAAAAAAAATCATTTATATTACTGAACAATCGAAGACAATCGAAAATTGCTCTTGCCTCTATATATATGAATTATGGATATAGCTGAAAGAGAGCCAAAATAAAAATGTAATAATTTATGAAAAATCGTCATTTTATAAACACTTGGTGAAAATTTCAAGTATACTTATATGGTTAGTTATTCGGGGTTTGAGTTACACACCCATAAAAAAAATCTTTTAAGTTTTAAATATTTTTGCCACATTATGTATTTARTATTAGGCACATCATAACATTATAATTTGTGCCTATTACGTGTTGTATGTATATTATATTATGKACACTTTGTACGGTCACTTGGAAAAAATCGCGTAAAGTTTGTCAACGTTTATCATTAAAAAAATATCCACTAGAAAGTCAAATTAAGTTATTATGAGTGTTTGAAATTTAAATTTTTACAGCATTGGATTTTCACTAGATTTCTCATTTAGCGATTTTCTTATTTTGGWGTAGCTCTAAAAAAAATGACCGCAGATACTTTAAATTTTCACTGAGCATTTATAWAGGCTTTTTCTATACGTCATAAGATTTTCAAATTATTTTGATAAGTTTTGAGCTGTTTACTGACATTTTAATTTTCCAACTTTTTTAATTTTTTTTTTCTATTAATGTCAATAAAATGTTATTGGTTGGATCAAAATTTGATATAAGGCTTCCAACATATTATTTCAATAGCAGTTGTAAAATATTAAAGATACATAGGAACTTTTTTTTTTTTTTCATAAGCATTTAAAGTTCAAATTTTGACTACATTCATAAAAATTACGGCAATGTTCAAATTATCTTAGATAGAAATTCATTGAAAATTTTCTTTTTAAATCTAAGATTTAACATTTTATTACAAGGCTTCTAACATATTTTTACAATACGAAATCCACTTTCCCCCTTTTTTTATGAACATTTAAGAAATGTTTTTTTGAGATTTAAGATAAAAAAAATAGTTGCTTTTGGTTACAGCATACAAATTATCGTAATATATAATAGTAATAGTACAAAGATAAGTCATTGTATTTTATTCGCTAATTGCAGAAACAAATTGTTATAGTTCCCGGACTTAGGATTAATAAAAAAAAAAATAGTAATAATGTTATTGTATATAAGACGTATAAGACGTTTTTACCATTTATAATCATTGCTTTTGCATATAAACAAAAACAAATTTTTGTCCGGGCAACACTGATTATTATTAAAATAAATAAATAACTATACGAATAAACTATTATTTCTTTCAATAGAAATCTGAAATATTGATCATTTGAATATATCCATTGCCTGTCAATAAAAGCGTTCTAAAAATGTCGAAAAGGTTTTTATTTGCAGGCCTTACGTTTGGCGCTATATGTGCTATATTGGCGTATTATATCATCATTACATTATTAGCTAGCGGAAGCAATTGTTAATTAATAATAATCACGTTCAAATTGTACAGGTAATCAAAATATTTATTTATTTGTGTCAWATTTATTTTAATTTGTACAGTCTGTATAAATGGACACATAATTGGGTTTGGTTGACTAGATTATAGCTAAAAAATATAACGTTTAATGCAGTAGGTACCTATATGAGATTACTTATTTTATAGAACTAAATATTAATAGTATATTTTCTGTTAATATGACGATGGSGGAAAGGACGTATCGAATAACTCAGATTCGGGAAAAGATTCAAACAATACCATTAAAGTACTAAAATTGGAATTTGTAGAAAGTTAGTTTTCATATACATGAAAATATATATTGAGTATTAATTATATTTTAACCAAAAATATTTTCATATTATAGATAAAAAGTTACCCATGAATGGTGATTTGTCATTCATAAAAATTAATATTATAATACATATTATATCGACCTACYTACAATAGTAATTAACAATATTTTTAACATAACGTTCGTTTAGGAAGCGGATCCGAGAATAAACTTAATATTCCATATTACGAACATTTACCAAACACGCGCATGCAAATACTTCAACCAACCAAACCAACCAGGTTGGTGTATGCTAACAGAATCGTCCGTAGTAAGACCAGAGTCTCCACCTCCAACATACATGGTAACAATTGATTTTAGGTTATATTAGAAAGTTTATACTTTATAGTACTTTTTGAATAGTATCTAAATATTAAAATTTTTGACTATCTTGATAACCGGCCATTACATRATTAATTTTTGGTCATTGTATTATTCTTATTTTTCATTTAATTAATTTAATGTAGATACATGCTAATTTCTTAATAGCTGTGACGGCAGAAAAACAATGATTTATAATTATAATAATAGTATATTATTATTTTTATAAAAATGTTAACTTATTTCTGAGTATAACGTTTTAGACGGATTAATATAATATAAACAATAAACATAATAATTTKTAATATGTAATAAATACGATACGTACGTATAATGTTTTGTTTATCCCATGAAATTACTCATGCAAACATACAGGACTGTTTCGTTCACTGTCCGGCTCGCCATCCGTGGACGATGACTTCTAAAGCTATATGTATATATCTATATATATAAATGGATTGTTTGTCCTAAATGCATTTCTAAACGGTTGAAC